GGATGGAGAGGGAGTTGAGTACGAGAAAGGGGAGCTGACTCTGGGTTGAGTCACCATCAGGGTGGCATTGAGTACTATGCGAAGCGAGGGCACATTTCAAGTGGGTCGCCGAACGGGTCTTGTATTAGTGAGGTGATGGACACCAAACTGTGTGAATGTAATGTATTGTCGTGTGGGGAACACGGGGGGTTGAAGGAGACCGGTAAAGCAGAGAGAGAGGTAAGACAGATGCGGTACTTGGCCCATTTATCCAAGGCAGCACAGGGGACCTGGGACATCGCCCCCGAGATCAAGCGCCATGAGCGCCTTTTGCCCGTCGTGTCCTCCCGCCGCTGTCAGGGGGATCGCCGGTGGCGGCCTGAGGCCCCGCCTCCCGCTGCGACCAGCCCGTGGGGCGCCCCGTGTGGCCGCCCTGTCGCCCGGAGTCGCAGGGAAGAGCTCCAGAACGGCGATCGTGCGGGCGGGCGTCGACGGCGGGAGCGATGAGACTGTGGAGGAGGACGCAACAACGGTGCGCGAACCAGTTTGGGAATTGGTTGCCTTTGAGGCGGCGCAGCTCGGCTGATCGGGCCGCCGCTGGCCGCGCTACTGAGGCCTCATCCCAGACGCCCCTGGCGAGAGGGCGCGCGTGTGTGTACACTTGGCGATTGGCGCTTTCTCGGCATAGCGGAATTGTGGAGCCAACCCGGCCGTGGGATTGTCCAGGAGGGCTGTTTTGTCCTGCGAATGCACGCTTTCCTCATCGTTTCGTGGCGACTTGCTAAAACGGCAGTTCTGCATTTTGACTGCGACTTGCCGCAGTTGGGATTGTGGATGTGAGCTGCCCGTTCATCATCCCACAATGGCACGGGTACCAACTTGCCACAATCCCTCGTCTTGTGCCAGGCACTCTCTTTTCTCAACTTGTCCCGCTGGGGATAATCAGAAAACATTCAAAACATTCAATGCAAACCTAGTGGCGGGAATTCTTGCCCAGTCCAAAAATCACAGCATGGATTCAGACTACTCCAGACCAATCTGAGAGTGCCCTGAACGGGGTGCCATGTGCCTGTGGGGGTCATGCCCCATGCCATGCACCATTACAGTGTTGTGCATGCTTTACAAGTCTTGATTGCACTTATTGTGTTATGGATAAGCAACGCCCTGGCAACCATCACCAAATGATGGCATCTGGGCCCCTGTGGGAAATTCTTGCAGAGTTTAATGGAATCAGAGCCATTCAGTCCCAGCTGCTGGCTGGTGGCCACGAAGAGAAAGATGGGCGTTGTTCTCTAGTCTTTAGATAAACATGTTAGCACAGTACTGTTTCTAGAGCTCAAGATGTCTTCCAAATTCCAATGGCCTTGGGCCTCAACCCCCACTGGTCACAGCCCAACATTTGTCAGGCAAATCGCTGGTGCAATTGATGCCAAGATCGTCTGTCTATGGAGAGCTTCTGAACTTATCTGCCCTGGGCAGAACATAGGGCAGCCGGCTTTCAGCGTCTTGGCACCTTTAACTTCCAAAATATGGTAACTTGTGGTCACTTGTGTGCCCCTGCTTTCTAATAGGCAGTAAGCCCAAGGATTCCAGAAAAGCAAGAGGAGGAGGAGGAAGTGCCGATCTGGGTCAAGAGGGAGCGGATTCGGAAAATGGAAGCTGAGCAGGGCATGATGGAGTTTCCATGGCCCATCTATCTGTCTGTCTCAATTCTTATGTCCATTGCAGTGGTGAGTGTGGCCATGGCGGTGGGCAGGCAAGTCGATTTTTGATAGTTGCACAGCAGCCTGCCCAGTAACCACCAAGTCCCATCTCAGTTTGGAAGAAATCTGCTGGCACCACAAAAACAATCCAATTGCATGGCAGGGCATGGAACACCATGCTTGGGCTCGTGCTTCCACTTTGAGTCCAATTGTTAGCTTGCCATGCAATTCATGCACACCTGCGAGACAAAGACTGGCAGGTTTGCGACACCCAAATTGTATCTTAAACATCGTACGCTTGCCACCTTGCTTTTATCCTGGAAAAGAAACCAAATTTCAGTGTGAAGTGCTGTTCTGTGCACACAACCCACTTGTGCATCTTTCTAATCTGAACAAATTTTGGAATGACAAAGTAGATTGCTGTGTGTGTTGGGTGCGATGATTCAGCGTAGTCAGTTTTGGACAAGGGCAACTCTGTCTTGCATCGCTGCTGAAGTGGCTAAACGAGTTATATGGGCAGCCACTGGAAGGGTGGCTGTAGCACTGGGTGCATTGCCCAAAATGGCGTGGTTGATGCAAAGGGCCTGACAGTACTGAAGCACGTAATTTGTAAAAACTCTATAATGTTGCACACAGCATTGTGCTTGTTGTGCTTACCAATGCGTCCACACAGCAAGTTTGTGCCAGACGAGTTATAGGCCCTTATCAGATCTGATTTGACCCAGAAGTCCTGATTTGGCTCTTCAAAGAGTCCAGTCGAAGCCACAACATTAGCACGCCCAGCAGATAACGTTTTCCATCTCTTGTACAGTTCCATGAAGATATGCCTAGTTCAAATTTGTCGTTGACACTGAAGGCAAGATGTGGATGCAATGTTATGGGGTACAATATGCCAATGTTCTGCAAAAATCACTCGATCCTGCGCTTGTTGGTGGCATTGGGAACTATAGTCTGCATTCCACTGTGCACATTGCTTTGAAACGTGCCACAATGGGCACTCAGGTTGCAACACTCCCATAAGTTGCTGTATGGCTGGACTGCAGAATGCTGAGCATTTGGGTGTGCTAACATGATATTACTGTTGCCACCGATCGAATTCAACTTCGGCTGCCAGTGACTTGACTCGATTATTCCCTGCAGTGGTATTTGGCTCACTGCGATGTGGGGCAGTTATGAGTCTCCTCTACTTCCCAACTCCAGATTTTCTTTGGCTGCTTTGTTGCCACCAATGCCACTGCCTCCACAACCTTGTCCTGATCGTCATAGAAACCAAACTGCACTTGGGCCAAGGTCTCAGGTTTCTGTACGCTTGACGCATTGCAAGGTACTTGTTTTGGTCATTACCCCATTGCTCACATCCCCTATGCCCCTGTATTTGTTTCATGCCTCTGATCATGCACACATTTTGCGTCCGTTGCTATTTAACAGGTGGGAGTCGTGTTCGAATTCTTCAACAAGAACCCTTATTTCGGCGTCGTGCAGCCAGACAATATTCTGTATATCCCTATCTTCGCACTTTTTGTGCTTGCTGGCGTCCCTCTTGCAGGTAAGGCCTCTTCTTTGCTATTTTGGCTTTCTTTTGGCCAACTTCTCCACTCTTTGCTTTTTCTTTTGCGGAGCTGATGCATGGCTCCTGTCAGACTGACCGCGGTGGTTTCTGCCTGGGGTGCCTCAGGTCTTGGTCGCAGTCACCACTGCTGAGGAGTTGCTTTTGTGCAAAGTCCGAGAGGCTTTGAGAAAACATACCATGCGCTTCCTCAACAGAGGATTGCCAACGAGTTCACACAGCATGAAAGCTGATCCACCAGTCAATAGGTACACGTAAATGGCAAACGGCAGGAACAGCGTACCCCTTAGGGTTTGCTTCACACTGCCACTGCATGACAATCGATTAAGCAGTCGTTAACCACATAACAGAATGCCAGGCAAAACGAAGCATTCGGCACCAATCGGATCTTGCTCAGTCGCTTGCCCTGCATCCAGTATAATGCCAAATGTTGGTTCCACACAGTCCGTGGCAAAGGTAATGCAACATCACCAGTTTTCAGGAACGCAGCTACATCATTACATGCACACCACGACATGTGGCCGCCTCCCGCCCGTGGCGTTGTCTGATGCAATTTTGGCTTTTTATTCATTTTTGCCCAGAGTTCACAGAGAACTGTGTCAAGGGCAAATCACAAAATGATTGTCGAAGCCAGCCGTTGCCGAAGTTTCCGCTGCCGCATCCAATATGCTTTGAGAAGCACGCTCGAATTGGCTCGATGGTAACATTCGGGTCGCGCTTGTCTCAAAGTACCAGAGTCGTCCAGAAAACCGTCCCAACATCGCCTAGAAGGTGCCAGGTTGACAAATGTAATTCAAGGATGTGAGCCTAGAAAACCGTGTGTCTGTTGCCATCAAGTGGTGGTGCTTTGGAACAGCGGCTGTTGTGTGCGATTGCGGTGCGTCTGTCCGCTGCATGTGGGTGTGTGGATGGTTTTAGGGGGTGGGGCTCATGTCGCCTGAATGGCGCGCCCCTGGCTGTGGCACGCACCGCCATCGACGTTTTTGCACACCCAAACACTTTTCTGCCTGTGAGCCGTGAAAAAACGTATCCTTCCTGCGCAATTTGTGAATGTAGCTGGGCAATTCATGCTGCAGGTGTATGCTTCTTCCGTTCCGTCGAGGGCGCCAACAAGCAAGCGGACCAAATGGACAGAATCGACAGTGGTAAATGAGCGCCCCTCAAATTCTTCTTGCGCCGGTGCATCTTTTCTGTTGCTTCATTCCATTTTTGTTGTGCCGTGTAAATGCCTTGCTCTGTCAAAATGCTGCCCTGTTTCGCCATCGCGTTCTGCGGTCTTACGGGATCGATTTCCAACTGATCGAACCAGAAACAAGGGGCCCCCAGGTTGCGTCCGTGGGGCATGTCGCTCCACAGATGGGCGCGCGAGGAAGCTGCACGGAACTTGTCCCGTTGTTCCGTTGCTTTGGCTGGGCATCCGAGAAGCTCATTGGGGCAATGGCTGGGGTTCATTGGTGACCATCCTGGCCCTTGCGCACGTGCTGTTGCCGTCCACCAACGAACCCGAACTCAAAGCAGGAAACTCGTTTCAGCGCATTGCTGCAGAAACTGTGAGTAGCACACATCGTGTAGGTTACGCCCTGTTGCCGTTTCCAGCAACATGAAGCAGGCTACGCCACCAACGATAGGAAAGGTTGCTGCTCTACCCACAGATTTATCAACAACGCAGAAGTGGTGGATTTGGCGGAGCGAGGGTGTCCCTCGCGCAGACGGCCAGGTGGCGTGCCACACCATCGGACGTTTACATTGGCTTAGGTTCGCAAGCCGCATAAAATTGACAGGAGCCACAACGGGCAGTACGTGCATGTCCAGAACATGCGTGTCGCCAGGGGCAGTTCGGAGAATGCCAATGCAGCCCAGCCCTGGGCGTCGCTGGGCGCTGTTCCGGGAGTCAGAAGGGCGGTTGCGAGGGGAAACATCGCAAAGGGAGACAGCAACAGAATCGCCATGAAATTGACGGCTCTTTGAAGGCGCCCAGTGGGCGGGTTGATAATCAGAGTGAGTGGCGTCAGAGCCACGAGGACCACGAACGCCAACGCCCTGCCAGCAAACACCACAAGGAGGCCCCTCATGTGCTGCATCAAGTGCGCATTGGTCAATCAACGTTGCACGCTGGCCCTTGGGGGCGTCCGCACCGAACGCCCTATTGGCAGTTGAGAACTAAATTGCCATACACGGATACATGCATTCAACGTGCATTTGCGCACTATTGACGACTCTCATGATGTTAATCCCGAGGCTGGCAAGGCACCAGAACATCGTCGAAATAGGAATCGACATCAGGGCCGGAACTATGCTCGTTGGTGGACTCACCAGTTGACGCAGACTATGGCGGACGAGACAGCCGCAGCGGTGCAGATAGCGACGGCTTGTGTGGCTGCTGCTGCACCAATGATAGCCCCGTGGGTGGGTGGAGTGGCGGCTTCGCCGCCGCCCACGTCCGCCGCAGATGGTGGCGCCCGTGGGCGCACCTCGGGTCTCCTCCAGGACTTGACACGGAGCCATGTTTCAAAGCAGCCGACACCGATCAAGACGGCCGCGGATAGAACGGCCAGAGCCCTGTCCCCGCCTCCCCAAGCGCCCGAAGAAAGAGACCTTCCGATGCTGCTCGATAGAGTGAGCGAAGGGGGGGTAGCGGCGCAGGCGAGGGCAAGGCTCAGAGCCGCAGAACCGCAATACACCTGGGAGGACAGGCTGAAGGCGCTGCCCCAGTTCGGTGCCTGTGCTCCACTTGCAGCTTGGGCCTTGAGGCAGCCTGCCTGAAACACAGCCCATCTCATGTTCGCCTCGACACGCGCCACAGATGTTCAGACGATCGAAATCGGCAGGCCGACCGTATTCTGGGGACCTGTAGGGTGGCCGCAATCGTCAAATGCAACATGCGGGTGGTGTTGTGTTAGGTGTCAGCATGTTCGAGGCGTGCCGGTGTTTTCGCCCAGGCCGCCCCGCTCCTTGCTAAAGTCGGCCACGCAATTGCATCTGGTGCGCTGCCATAAGCAAAGCGGTTCACTGCACCTATCACGATTACAAACAGGTATCAAAACTGCTGGTCCAACAAAGATCAACACGGACGTGGGGCTGCGTATGGCAAATTCAATATCGGCGCTCCCCCATACTGCATCATGAACAGCGCCGAGGCAATCAGCTCTCAAGCTGCCTGGCGCCCTCCAAGATTTGGATACCTGAAGGCATGCAGAAGGAGACTGGGCGGGTGGGGTGGGGTGCGGGGGTAATAATGCACAGGTTCGTTGCGAAAGTCCAGGGAAGGGGTCGATACCACTCACCGCCCCTGAGGGCGCCAAGCGAATGCCGGTGCTCACCCTCAGGAACATGGCCAGCACAAACAGAGCCACGGGGGCCATGTACAGGTCGATGGTGAGGAACCGGTCTGTGGACACCAGGAGGTACATGAAGTAAGAGTGGTGCAGCTTCTCCTGCAGATTGTTGCAGCTCCGAAAAATGAGCTCCAGCGTCTCCGCCAGGCCAACCATTGCGGCGCCCGCGTCGGTAACCACCCTGCCCTTCGAGCCCAGCCTCGAGGACTTTGGGCCTCCCAGGGCCCCCGGGCCCAGCAGCTTGGGTTTCATGGTGATGGCGTCAACTGCCCAAGGTTTGAAAGCCGCGTGGGGCCCCGTTGGCGTGCCCAGCGCCAGGCGTCCCACGAACGACAGCATGGCCTCCAGCCGGCCCGCGTAGCCATGATCCCTGCTTCCCTGCGAAGCGGCGAATATCAAACAACTGCGCAGACATGGACTTCATGGGCAGGGACAAAACACTCGCGCTGTTCTTTCACAAACATCGATACATGAGGTGGCAAGCATTCTAATGGCACTTTACTGGTTCAAGCAGTAGGGGCTCAATCGCAGTGCATTATATTCAGCTCATGGGGGCCATGAGCAGGGATGGCAGACGGAAATCTAGACAGGGCGATTGTGGAATGGGCGCCAAGTAAGCGGCTGAAATTGCAGCTTCGATCCAATGTGAGCATTGCCTTGCATGTTCATGCGAATGCCACGCGACAAACACTGCTACAACGCGGAGCAGAAATACGCGCAATGTCATGCTTTACCAGTGACGTGTTTGCATATTGGGTGCATTCACATCTGCGAGCCCCAAGGTATTGCTCAAGATAGGCGCAGCTGTAATAGCCGCGATGGCGTCGTCAACTGCCAGTTCCGCATAATACAACTCCAGACGACTCTCGGCGGGCATTTTCGGCAACATTGGGGGAGCTGTACCGTGTTCTTAAAAGGAACTTGTCACGACACTCTGAATCGCCTCCAACCGCCGTTTTGCCGACAAATACACAATCCACAGTGCTTGCCAAATTCTCATAATTCGCATATTCTCCGCATTCCGTGAGGAGCAACATGCAACTAGGTCAAACACCTAATCTCAAACGCATCAGCCTACAGCAGGGAACAACTTGTGCACAGGCATGACTTCGCAAGAACATGAACAGAAAAACGCAACTACGATGGACCCACAAGCTACTGAAGCCCCCATGATGGTAGTTGCTCAAAATCTGACTGTCCAGCGTGCGGCTCCAATGTGCGGCAGGCAATCAGAGCGCTGAGGCTGACATACAAGAAGAATAGGAAGCCAGGCCGAGGCATGCATAACCCCACCTTGGATCCGAAGAGGCGGCCCATTCCCACCAATCGGCCATCAGCCTGCCTGTCGCTCAGCAGCATAGGAACACCAAGCACCCTGGAGCCACCAAGAGGACTCATTGAGGCCGTGGCGCTGGGGACAGGCGAAGCCTGCAATCACATTTGGATGGAAGGGGTGGGGGGTTTGCGTGCGATTGCATTTGACGAACGCCAACTGAGCACCGCTTCGGCTGGCAACATCTGGTGCATATTCTAACTCCACATGATGTTGATATGACACATCCACCCTTGATGGGACCCGTCGCGGGCGTGTGCGCGAAGAGGTTGCAATCATGTTCAGCTACAACTAGACATTGTTGTCCGCTCAAAAGTGGTTTACAGTCGTGTGTCGGTTGGGCACAACATTACACCACCATTTGCTCGTTGGCTGTGGGGCAGAAACCCATGCAATTTCCACAAAATCCCAGTGGGTTACTGAGAAGGCCGAAACTCTTGGACTTGTCCAAAAACCTTTCCACCAACTTGCAGCCGGCATCATACATGAAAAAGAAAAAGCACGTTTAGATAGTTTTTCGTTTCTATCGCAAAGCAGCACGCATATGACTGGTCTGACAATCTGTCTGTTTAGCATGCAGCGCCACAGGGCGATGCTCCAGAACCGTGCAGTACTGTAGCACGTTCCAAAACTGAGGGAGAGCGCACCTGCTTGACAAGCTCTTTACCAGCCAGTACATGTCCAACTTGGGTAGCTGCCCGTTGTAACCCTCCAGGGCGATCTCCACGGCATCGAACGTGGGCTGCGTCACCTCTACCACGACTGCCTGCTGCAGGGTGCCTGCTCTCTTGAACTCGCTGCCGATGGCAGAGGCGGCCTGCAACGATTTTGTTGCAAAAAATTACAGCACTATCCTACCTGTTCAGCAGGAGCGGAGTGCCTGCCGTGCCCATCCCACCACAGGCTCAATGGGGTCTGCAATTGGGAGACTATGTTCACATGCAGCTCCACTCCCATCACGGCTTCAGATTATCCTTTGCTCTGGTCCCCACTGTCTTTGATGCATAGGTCCAGGCACAGAGCTTGTGCCCAAAATCTGAGGAACCCCACCCGTACACACAAACACATGCTTTTGTTCTCGCTGTTGTTGTTGGTAGCTCGCACAACATTGCAAAGGGGAAAACTGCCTCATACATTCATGAAAGCACAGTTTGTGGCCACGACTGTGGATTGTGATTTTAAAGCGAGTTCAGGCAAAAACACACCTTTGCTTGGTAAGCATCAAGCCACTCCTCCATGCTGTGGATAGACCCACACCTTCCGTCTGTGACCACCCATACCACATCCTTAGCGAGCCAAGGCACAGTTGCAAAATGGGCAAGAAGCCCATATCCAATGCCAACGGCCAGGGCAGCAGCCTCATGGTTCTCCTGTGCACCTGCGAATTCGGTGGAGTAGTATCAGCATGGGGTGGGTTGTTGGAAGACAATGAAAATGTAGGTTGCTCTTCGTCACTGACACTGGTTCAAGACACACAAGAGAGGCGCCTCCAGATAATGACAAGCCAGCAAACAAGTAATTCCAGTTCGTATCCATAAGCGCGTTCCCAAATCTCGATACATTACCGCTGTGAAATATTTACCTGCTGTGACAATGACCACAGCCCAGACGACACCAAGTTGCAAACATACACAAGTTGCAGCAGTGATGATCTGCTGCAGTGGTCTTTATCCTGCACACAGCACCTGACTTCCAATATCTTATGAATGACATGTGTGCTACCTTCTTGTGTGAGACCAGTGATCTGACAATATCTGGAACATGAGCAGTGACTTGATGTTATCTGGAGCAAGGTCAGTGATCTGAAGTCCACCCATATGCGGGGGCAGCCATTCGGACTCACACTATCATCGAATGGATGACACATCAGCAAAATGCAAATGCAGACAACTCGGTTTTTGGATGTACACTGGAAGTCAGCAATCAGGGACATGATTCCAGATTGCTTTGACAGCACAACCATAGTGCTTTAGTGCTACTGGGAAAATTCACCAAAGAAAAGAATTAGCAACACACACCTGGATGCTCAGAATTCAAGGTGATGGGTGTGACAAGTGCCATGCCCTCCTTGCCATCTCCCCTTGGAGCACGCAGGATGCCATGCACGTTGCTGCACTGCAGAGAAGCATTCACCATGGGGCCCACCATATCCAGCACCTGGACGGAGGTGTCCAGCCCCAAGGCACGCATCTCGCTTGCCAGCCAGGCTTGGCCACTGGCACCACCACCAGTCTCTTTCAAAAATCTTGACCGCAGGCCCTGTGCCGTAGCCAACACAGGAGAGTGCCTGGATGGAGCAGAACATGGTATGAGGGGAGCCAGCAGGACTGCTTGTGCACAGATTTGCTGGCAGGTATTAATTTCATACACTAACTCTTTAAGATGCACATTCACAGAACCGAAGGACAGATCGATCCCAAGCCAGGCGTAGATTGAACGTAGCCTTTCTAGCAAAACTGCCTGTGGCTGACCTGCAGATTTCCAAGCGGCCAGGTAAGGCATTGTAGTTGTTCCCCGACAGATAGTCAACGTGCAGGAGGCAGCGAGGCACGCATCCAGGATGGTTTCCGTCCTCTTTTGAGACACCTTGCTGCGAGCTGCGCCAGTGGCGTCTACAAGTTCGACACAGATCCACGCCGAGGACCCCTGCCACGCAAACCCTGCAGCACATCTCCCATTTCCCTACCCCGCACCCCACCCGTCCCCCGGAGCGCCTATTCTTCTTTCTCCTCGTCGTCCTGCGCTGCGTGCTCCTCTCCCCGTACCGGAGACTCCACATCATCTCTCAACAGCGTGGAAAGGAGCCCCTCGCACATTTGCTTGCGGGGTTGTACCGTTTCGCGTGGCCTGTTTTCTTGCCCAGTGCAGCAGATGTCGCCCCACCCCCCAGCCCCCCAGCGACCGCACAGGACGGTTCCGACCTCCCGATTCCGCTCCCCTCGCCCGTCCAATGACCCAAGCCCACCTGAATCCCGACGCCGCGCTGTCCGGCAGCAGCGCGTTCTCATCGAAGAACACCCCCCTGGCCACCATCGGCAGCGCCAGGAACCACGCCGCCCCCAAGCCGTACAGCGCCCACGCCAGCCACCACCCGTGCCTCAGGCACATCTCGATCAGCAGCACCACGGGCTTCTTGCGCCGCGCCGCCCCGCCCCGATCCCGTTGACGGGGATCTTGACGCCGATCCGGGCCCGAAGGCCCGCCGGCCATGGCGCCACGATCAGGATCGCTCTCCCGCAATCGCAGAATGTGCCGGGAGGTTTCGCCGTCAGGAGTGGCGGCGCGAACCGTCCGGCGGCCGCGAGGCTGCGCTGTCGGACCGCCGCTTGGCCAGCCGTCACAAAATTTTCCCTCTCCCACAAAAAACGCAAATCGGCAAACTGACCAATCTGTCGATGCCTATTCGGAGAGGGCGCACAATGCATCCAGGTTAGCTGCACCCAGGAAATATGCACGAGACACCCCTCAAGAGGGGCCTGCAGAAATCGCGCGAGCGGTTTTGGAAATAGCGCGGGGGGAGGTTGGGAGCGCGGGTGGGGCTCCACGCGGCGGCCGCCCGTGGCATGCTAGCCTCGTTGCTGTCGCGCTGCTGCTGTTGCAGGTGGGCGCGGATCGAAGCCGACCAGGCGGCACGGCGGTTCGGCGGGGCGGCGCGCCGGAAGGCCAAGGAGAGGCCGCGCACGAGGATGCCGACGCCCAGGAAGGGGCTGACGGTGAGAGGGAGGGGGAGAGGAGGGGGGGAGAAGATTGTTGACCGGTCGGCGACGGCGCGGCGGCGATGGAGTCGAATTTGGGGTTGGAGGAGAAGACCCGGGGGGGGGGATTGTCGGTTGGGGACGTCGCTTTGCAATTTTTTGTCTTCTTTCCTTGGGATGGCTGCGTCTGTTTTGGGTGGGTGGGGACGCGCCTTGGAGCGACGCGGTGCGGGGTAGTGATCCGCGGCGGACGCTTGGGGCGTTTTTTGACGGGCTTGGTGTCACGCCTCGCCATCCGGCGAGTGGGTCGCCCCGCGCCCAAGCTGTGGGAATCGGCACGACAAAAGCAACGCTCTACCCCAATCGCGACCGGTGTGCGCCCAGCCCGCGGCAGGATCTGGGATGAGGGCTCCGTGCCGGCCGCTTTGCGGGCGACGGTCCGCGGGCGTCTGGGCTGCGAGTCGCGGCGGCGGTCGGCCGAAAACCATCCGTCGCAGTCACCTGGCGCCAGGAGGTGCCCGTCAGTTTATCCGGTGAAAATTGCCACAGCGCCCTCGCGAACCACCGCGCTGCCGCCGTTGGAAGCAAGCGCCGAACGCCAGTTCGCGGCCACGAGGATGCCCATGGGCCCGCTGGACGCCTATGGGCCCGCTGGACACCCATGGGCCCGCTGGACGCCCATGGGCCCGCTGGACGCCCATGGGCCCGCTGGACGCCCATGGGCCCGCTGGACGCCCATGGGCCCGCTGGACGCCCATGGGCCCGCTGGACGCCCATGGGCCCGCTGGACGCCCATGGGCCCGCTGGACGCCCATGGGCCCGCTGGACGCCCGGCGCTGCCTTTTGCGCGCGTGGCCCCGACCGCTTGGTCTGCCGCGCAGATCGCGGTGGAGGGATGCTGCCACGGCGAGCTGGACAGGATCTATGCCACCTTAAAGGCCATCGAGGACCAGCAGGGCAAGAAGATTGACCTGCTAGTCTGCTGCGGCGACTTTCAGGTGGGGCATCCCTTGGCGGGGGACTGGCCTGGCAGACTTTCGCTCAGAGCATGGAAACATAACCGCAGCCTCGCACCAGTCCCGTTTTTCGAAAATCTCCCTCCCCTTGCACGAATCTCATTGCGTCGCGCCGACGGGGCAAGTTTTAGGATTCGGGGCAGTTTTGGGACGTGACGGTCGACGACTCTTTGCCCGCTTGGACCTCAGGCGGCGCGCAACCTGGGCGACTTGGAGTGCATGGCCGTGCCTCCCAAGTACAGGAAGATAATGGACTTCTACAAGTACTACATGGGGAAGGTGGAGGCGCCTTATCCGACGCTGTTCGGTGAGACTAGTGGCATTGAAATGGTCAAAGGCGATCTTGACTGCAGGCCTTGACTGTAGTCCTTTAGAGGGGTGGACTGCGTTGGGTGTGGGCATTCTGAACTGGGGTGGATGTTGCAAAATGGAGGCAAACATGGAGAAAGGCAATTGAAGGGCATATGCCATATGATGGGTATTAAGTGGTAATAGTAAGGTGTATGGACAGGCTGAAAGAGTAGCGTTGGTGTGTTGTGGGAAGCTTTCCCTGCACAGAATCCCAGCCAGCCCATTGAATATTGGCACGTCCCATGCATCATTGTACACCAGTCTGTCCATCTGCATCAGTGGCAGGGATGGAGTTCAGTGTCAAAGTTGCCACAAGTCATGCAATTGAACACATTGAGGTACTTGTGAGTTATTGCTAGGCTTGAGGTCCTCGACAGTCCTGCGAGCTGTAGGTATCCTGGAACATGTTGTGGATGCAACAGCCATTCAATCTGCTCCACTTTGTAGCCACTGTCTCTGTCCTTGCATGTTCGACTAATATCACATGCACTGCAGGCAATTCACGTGTTGAGACAAGTGAAGGAAGGAAACGTCCATTTGGATGTGATTGGATCCCTATGGCATTGTTGCAGGCTCATTGTGTGTCTTTTTTGACTTTAGTTATAGTTTAGTGACCACCTGCCCTGCTGTGCATGGATATTCAGTTGGCGGGAACCATGAGGCAATAAACCATTTGCGAGAGCTGTACTATGGTGGTTGGGTGGCCAAGAATATATACTTCATGGGATACGCGGGTGTTGTGAATTTCGGAGGTCTTCGATTTGGGGGCATCAGCGGCATTTTCAATGAACGACATTATCACATGGGCCATTTTGAGAGACTTCCGTACACTGACAGCAATATGAGGAGCGCCTACCATGTGAGGGAACTGGAGGTGTTTAGGCTCAAGCAGGTCTGTTGCAGTTGTGAATTGTGGTTCTGAACTTTCTGGAATGGCTTTGACCAACTGACTGGGGTGACTGCAGATTTCAATCTTAGATTCGGTTTCATCTACAGCACCATACACATGTCCACATGTTAGTTGTTGACTTCTTGGTCGCCATCAGTTCTGTACTTGCAGAAAGTATGCCCACTGTTTGGTGCCTATCTGTATTTGTGATGGGTAACGCAATGTGTCATGACCCACATTCATTGAATTTGTTACAATGTGACAATACGTTGCACTTGCATCATCGAGATGATCAAGCAAGCAAGCATCGTGGCATTCAGAGTTTGTACCACGGCAATCATGCCTCTTGACATTGATAAAATGGGGGCAAGCTCCAGAAAGCATGGCACCTTTTGGTTCAAGAACCAATAGGAAGAGAACAACTGCCAAGAATAGGAAGCTGGGGACTGGCAAGGGAAACAATATTGTTTCCTCACTGGCTCCACTGCACGCCAGGGTTGCAAGAACTGCTCTTGCTGTCAGGAAGAACGTTGCAGCAGTGAAGAAAGCATGTCGTGCAATGGACAACCCAGCTGCTGAACAAGCTTCCCGGGGTCCATGCCATTCTGTAGGAATAATGTGGCAGTCTCTAACCACACGAGGGAACTTGTGCAGTAGTTAGCAATGCATGCAACAAACAAGGGTTGGTTTCTCTCTCAGGGGTCATGTTCCACTTGCAGCCTGACCCATTCACATGGGAGCTGGAGCCATTTATGCATGTTTATGGACTATAGTCTGGTGTTGGGCACCCCATCATCAATTCCTGTATGGATACCTGCCCTTGATTGCTGCTTACCAAGTTCGTTGGCGAGCATAGGCAAACATTGCTCAGGCTGCTGAAATGCCTGCCACATTGTCTGAAATAAATAAACAAATACTTATTGATAAATAGGCACATAGCATTATGTGTGGTGCAGCTCCAAAAGTCGTCCATATATTGAAAAACAGGACATGTGACAACTGAACAACATTTACACACAAGCTTGGGCTGAAGCTTTGTGGTGTTTCACAGGTTGCTGTCTTTGTTGCAGATAAAACGGCCTTTGGACGTTTTTGTGTCTCACGACTGGCCAAGGGGCATCGTGGAGTGGGGAGACAAGCAGTTGCTGATAAACAGGAAGCCCTTCTTCAAGAATGAGGTGGGACAGCTGGGCCCTTGCCGTGACACGAGTGCCACGCCTGTGCAGATTCACTCAAGATACAGAACTGGACCCGTAGTGAATTGGCACAATGATGTAAGGAGACTGTAGATTGACAGGACTCCCTCTCATTTTGTTGAGGATTCCGTCCTCTTTTGCCAAGATGGTATCAGCAGGTCAATCGAATTCCAGTCATACACAGTACCATGACTGGAATTCAATTGACTTGTTTTATGTGTGCTGCTGTCCTATTGTTATCTTTTTCGTTGAGCAAGTGCGATCTGGCAACAAGATTGTGATCAACACAGTTTGCAAACGCAAGGATGATGGAACAGAAACACGATTCGTTACCCTCTGAAGCTTGCAGAAGTCAAGCTGGCTGGGAGCAAGTTGAGGACCGCTTTCTCACACACGTGTGCTGATGCTGGCCTCAACTGCTGCTTTGCAGATCGACAGCCATAGACTGGGGAGCCCCGTTGCGGCAGAGCTCCTGAGAGCTCTGAAACCTGGACACTGGTTCTCTGCACACCTGCACGTCAAGTTCCCCGCCGTCGTGGACCACAAGGGAACTGGCAAGATCACCAAATTTCTGGCTCTGGACAAGTGCCTCCCCAAGAGAGACTTCATTCAGGTGGACAAGATTGAAGAGCAGAAGACAGCTTTTCCTCTTGTTTTGTACTGTTTTGAGTCTTCAAAGCAATAAAGACAATCAGCTTTGACTTGGCAAACAGCCACCCTGTGCTTTCTCTGCTCCCGTCCAAGCATGTGTGACAAGGTTACCAGTCCAGAACAGCAATTTCCGTGGTTGTGGCACGGCTCCCATGGTTGGAGTGACATTTGTTGTGCTGCGCCAGCTCGTCAACTTTCCTCAGGCAACGGGCCCACACGAGTTCTCCTACGATGAGGAGTGGCTGGCAGTTCTGAGGGGAACGCATCAGCTGATGAATGTTGGTCGTGGGCGATGTGTCCTGCCAGACATGGATGGTGCGACACTTTACAATGTGTACTGCGCAACTCTTTAGCGAATGTGTGATGTTGTCGTTGCTTTGTGTCTACAAATGTATGTACTGTGTGATCAGCATGTGCTGTGCCCCTATGCTGCTGTGCTGCAGTCTCAATGCCCTTGTTCCTGCTGCTGTACCAACTGTGTGAGGGCCTGCACGATGCAGGAGAACAGCGTTGGATGTCGCTTCACAGTTGTGAACCGCCATCGCAGTGGCCTGTTCGACTGGAATTGATGTTGCTTTGGTAAACTCTGTCTGTCAGCTGGCGATCTCATTGCGGTGTGCAGCTGGGAGTGGTCAATTGAATTTGAGACTGTCGAGTGCAGGAAGGCGCAGAATAAGGACCGCTGCTTTTGTCGGAGGTGGTGCCCCATTTTCTTCCAATTTGTCCCTGTCTTGCAACTGAGCACATTGCTTGGGACAGGTCCCTCCAGAGAGGACCTGGAATTCGTTTGCGACAAGCTGGCGGCCCATGGAGCTGAAATCCCCCACAACTTTGAGCGAACAGCAGAGCCTTACTCCTCCAGGGTGGTGAGGCCCAAGGGGGAGCCTAGGCACCAGAGGAAGCCTGATGGGGAGAGGTCCCCCCAGGGCGGTCCACCCACTCGGGGCAGGATGCCCTCTGTGGACAGCGTGCATCCACAGACGATGAGGTTCCTCAACATGTTAGAGCTGCCCTACAACTTGCACTATGGGCAGGACGAGAAGCTGCATCTGCCTCAATACTCTGCTGCTGGGCAGGGGATGGGATATGAGGGGTGCGTGGCAGATTTGCGACTTTGTGGTGCTATTTATGCTTGCAGTGTTTGCATTTTGCTGATGTGATGTAGTGTCTTGGAATACAGAAAAAAAGAACAATCTGTCCATCCCATGCTCCTAAATATCCGATGTGTAAGCTAATTTGAATCTGCAAACTGTCCCATCAGTGTAAATGTCAAGCCAATCTTGCTGTGTTTGGATGAATCCCCTCTGTGTTGTGTGACATCTGATTGAACTGCCTCACTGTGCTGCGTACATTGTGTACACTGCAAGTGCATCGTGCACATACTGGTGCATCAAACTTCAGTCTCTGCAAAGATAAACGTGTGCTTGTGAAGCTGCACATGGCTGCAGAAACACATGCTTGCTGGTGGTCGTGCCTGCACAACAGAAAATGTTAAAGCGGTGGTTGTTGTTCAACAAGGCACCCCACAATTGTTCAGTAGTCTCGAATGCTTGTTCGGCCGATGACTTGAAGTTGTGCTTTTTTCTGTGGCGCCTTTCTTGTAGGCCTCAAAACGTCACAAACCCTGAAGAGATTTCATTAGACGAAGAGGATGATGTTGACGACGACGAGCTTGACTGTTGTCATGGTCGCGGCGTCGAGCATGTGGATGACGATGAGGAAGATGGGCAGGGAGGAGGGAAAGAGGGGTCGGAACAAGCTACTGTGTGTGTGGATCAAACGTCGCTTCAAGACACTGAGGACTTGCGTAGAGCTACAGATGTTGGATTATGAGAGTCCATGAGTGGGCGATAATGGTAGGCCAAATAGGCAGCTGTGTCATGTCTCTGGCACGACCTATCTCAACGTCAGGCTGCCATGTTGTGTAACATTTTCAAGTGCAATGTCCATGATTTGCCTGATGTCTTTCACGACGAGGTGTCGACTCTTGCAGGATTTGAGGGTGCCATCAGTCGCATAGGGCTGTGCTGACACCCTGGTCCTGGATTCAGTGACCCACCCTTCCCTCTGAAGGGCATCACGCAAAGGTATTGGCCCCTGCTCCCGACATACACCTACACACTTCGTGGGCAGGCCGTGTTCATGTGTTTTGGGATTCGATGTTCCACTGTATGTTTTTATTGCATTTGTGCAATTCAACGATGATGTGCCAAAGCAATGTGCTAGCACTGATTGTCCATCAGTTCAACATCTGAACAGATTTCCACGATGTCAACGCCAACAACCCCGCCACTTCAGCAACCATGTGCAAATGTGCTTCATTGGGATGAAATCGGCCTGCCTTGCAAGCGTCCCCGCGCCATCTGCCATACATGCCGCAGACGCGGTCATTTCGCTTTATGTGCTGCCTGACATAATGTCACCATGTGAAGCATGCACACGGAGCACCAGGCCCCAATTTCCTTGCATTTGTTATCCCACCGCGCGCCAATTGGTGCTGATGTTCTCCGTGCTGTTTGCACAGCACATGTTCGCGCTATCAACCTGCCCCCAACACGACTCTCCTGAACCCACGTGCATTCCCCAAATCCTACTACCCGTCCTGCCCATCTTTGTAAAGAGGTTGACCAAAGTCAGCTGTTGCCTCCGCGGTCAGTGCATTTAGCGCATGCTCTAGTGGACTCAAGTGCGTACCGAAGCACAGCCCAATCTTGCATCAGGCACACAGGTGGAGCGCTCAGACCCTCTACTATGGGTGGTGCTGCCGCTTGTGGCTCTGACGCACTTTGTACTCATAATTGAAGTGCTGTTGCCGGATCTCTTTTGTTGTCGTCTGGCATCTCTGGCGACGTGTCCTGCAAGATTCTGCCGGTAAGCTTCTCAAGCTTGGACACCACAGCCCTGATCGTCTGCTTCCTGTTGCTGCGCTGATCAAGGAGGCAAATGGGGAGGTGGGATGGAATAGTGTGGAAAGGCCTCCAGTGTTCGAATAAGGTGTGTAGTGTAAGTAGCTGGCCGCAGCAGATTATTGCATCGGAAGCAGTGCTGCGCGTATCCTCATTGATTGCACTACCCAAGAAGACTCACTGCATCTTTCACCTGGCGGGCAGTTGGGGTCAGCCGCGATGCTGCAACAAGTTTTCTGGTGTTTCTACGCCTATTGTGAGGTTGTATTCGGGGGAAATCTCTAAGTCGTAGGATATGCTTGCAAATGAACATATGCACCGAGCAAACGAGGAAACAAAAAGTCATTTGGAAAATAATCACATAGCCAGTGGTCATCATCTGATGCCATCAGAAATTAAATGATTCTGCACTCTGAAATTTCGGCTCCGCATTTTGGTTCCTCTATTTTGGCAAGAACGTCACATAACTTTTCCTGCGCTCCACATCGTGTCTAGGGGGCGCAGGCTGGGCAAAACAACCCGCTGACCAAGTTCTGCAGGCGGATGAAAAGTCTGAAGGCACTTGCCTGCACCGTCATGAGCAAGGGTCCCTGTCTGAAAGGGATTAGGGAGTGCACGTGTCCATGGCGCCGCAGAGCTGGAGGGGATAGGCCACAGCGGATGCGCACTATGCACACTACAGCCTCACAGGTAGTCGTTGATCGAAATAACAAAAGCACTGTCAACGTGACACTTGCGACTCGTGATTGCCTCAATGCGTCGGCGTCGGGCCGCTCCTGACGATGTCATTGCGCGTGCCATCCAGACAATGCCATGTGATGCCTGGCGTTGCAGATGGTGTGCACTGGCCTTACGCAATACCGGGCTGTGGGCAAATATAACAGAAACCGCATTACAAGGCCATATCAATGGAAAATGGGTCGTGCAAGAATCGCATGTGCCACGCCTTTGATGACCATGTGTGATGATCTCCAAAACGGCTACGTGTGGCTGCATGAGCTTCTGTCCATCTTCTCATTCCTTGGCCCGTGGCGTCGGGTGCCATGCGGCGACAGCAGCGGCAACGGCATTCCCGCAGCCACCCACTCGCCTGTCGGGAAACGCTTCTGGCGCGGCGCCACAGGCGCTGTGTGTTCACTAAGCTCTTCCGCAGCTTGTTGATGGAGCTCAGTTTGTGGAAGGGCCACCTGGTGATGCCGTACGTTCTGCATGACTTCTTTAGCGCCGTTACGCCGACGCCCAGCTCCATGGCAGCCTCGCGAATGGGCAGATGAAAACCAGGACAAGAGGAGGCGACTCTTGCGTCGATGCAAGATTATGGGTGCAGTCCACGCAGTTCGTTGACTTGGTGTGTCAGTGCCACGCGCGTGTCAGCGTGGAGAGCTTTCGCAGGGCTTTCTGTGCACTTCGAGACCTGTAAATGATTCAGAACCTGTGATTTCGCCGGAGGGACATGGACGGCGGCAGAGGTGAGCCAGGGACTTCCCTTTCCCCTCGCCGCCACTGATCGATGGTTGACTAATCGCGCACCAACGCGTCGGAAACAACGTCCATCATGTCACCCGCTTCCGCCATGCTACGCCCACACTTCTTGGCATGTCGCGCGTGATTCCTCTTTCTTGCGAGTTCCGGTGTGGACGCATGATGTGCCGTGCGTATCGGCCCGGCATTCCGTGACCCCCCCCTGTGGCCGACTGCTGCTCTGAGCCGCTCCGGGATTGACGCCCATATCTTGAAACCCTCTCGTGGGTGCTCTGCGGCGGGGCGGCCCCGCCGCGATTGGCAACGCCAGGTGCAGTGGTGCTCCTGGGTGTGGGCTGCGAGACTCTGACAATGTTGGTGACCCTCGGTGCAGACGCTGGCATCCCGCAGAGGCACTCGCCCTGAGTGAGCTGGCAGAGCCCGCCAGCGCGAACGACCCATGACGCGAATTCGGGACAAAATGGGACTGGCCTTAGGTTGGAGCGCGACTTGGGATCGATCCACGAGGCGTCTGCCAGAGGCGCGATGACACGGTAGAGTGTACTCTACCATACCATGTACCGCGAGCATACGTGTGGTGTTGTACGGTATGATGGATACGCCCCCCGCTCCATGAAACATTGGGTAGGTGAGCGCCGGGGTTCGATGCGGCATTATGGGACCCCTGGAATTGGTCTCTTGTCACACTTCCGCTATATCGCGGATATATCCTCGGATGCTGTGGATATATCGGCAGTGTAGGGACCAGCGGGACGTGCCACGGATTCGCGCCACACATGTATCGTCTGTGCCTGCTGTCTTGTATATGTTGGTGTCTTGCCTTGCAATCGCTGTCCGCCAATCGGTCCATCCCCACACAACGCCTGGACCGGCAAAACGTGGCGCACGTCCCCTTGCCCAGCCCCCCTCATTCTTCCGCCACACAAATAGCAGGAACTCATGTCGCCGCTGGAACCGTGCCTAGCTGTCTCGCTCGATATCCGTAAAACACGTTTCCCACGCTGTCTGCAGCCGACCCCCTCTTGTGCCAGCTTGCATCTCAGCCGGGGCTCGGGAGGTCGCATGCTGGCCCCAACCCTCTGCCGAAGTGCTCGGAGTCCACACGCTTGCTGTTCCTCGATTTTTTGCGGACAAGAGTGCGGACATGGACACTATTGGCAAACCGAAACATCAAGGAGTTTCTGTGGAAGGGTGGGTCTGCACATAAAGTACGGTGGTGCGGCAACGCGCTCACAGCGAGCAAGATAGGGTTCTACACTATGACGTAAAGTGTGCTGATTGGTGTCTCAGACACCAGACTGTAGGCTGTTGTGCTATTCGGTACTTGTGTAAACAACGATTGCATGTGGCTATGAACAGAAAACGTTTCAAATGCAGCCAGATAGGAATCAAATATGCAAAAATGCATGCTGCGGGCTAAAGTATGTGTTCAAACCACCCCATTTGCAGACTGGTTACCAACACTATCAGAAGCTGGTAACAAAGGGGCTTTGCGTCAGCGAGATATGTACATGCTACTGCCATTCCACATCAATCTATCACTGCAATGTCTTAATGTGTGATTCCCCAAAGTCCCCTTTTCACCTTGTATCTTTTCCCACCTGGAGCCGACGACCTTCCAACAACTTTGTGGACCACTGCACTGAGGCACGGCTCTACGGGTTATCCAGCTGTTTGAAGATGCCTCAGTGGTGCCTGTGCACATGGTAAACCAAACTTGGTCATCAAGTTGTCCTCACGCCATTTCCACTCCCTCTTGCGGACTGGTCATCAGACACCAGCCGCCCCATGCCAGCCGATCCAATGCATGTGGTGCATCCTTCTCCCTTCATCTAGTCGGCAAAGAACGGCTTGAAAGGCCTGAACAGGGTTCCCAAACCTTGGCTCTTGCGCCCAGCACTACAGCAGCACCAAGCCAGAAATACCACCAACCCACTCTACCCGCGGAGTGGGACGCCCCACGCGCCCCGTTAAATGTGGCCTGCGGAGCTCCAGCTGCCCTATCTCTGCATCTCGCGATACGGCCCGCCCAGTGGCCTGTCTAAGTTGGCGCCTCGGGCCACCGAGCTCAAGTCGTTGAGCCCCTGCAATCCGCCAACCCTGGCCACGGTCACCAAGGACGAAGCGCGGCATGCAAGAAGGAAACCGTGCACTTTTGTGAGCCATGGTGAGCACTCAGTGGCCCAAGAGTCTGAAACTGGGTTGAAGCAAGCAACACTGGTGGGCGGCATGAATGTGATGTCTCAATCCGTTGCCTTAGCGAGGCTGCCACACGCCAGTGTTGGCACCCAAGGGCGGGTGGTGGAAAGCAGTGCGTGGCTTCCCGAAAGCCTGAGCGTTAACGGCAACGTTGTCCACCAAGTCATCTTTGAACCCCCCAGTTTGAACGCAAGCCCCATCAATTTGGAGCGATACGGGTTGTTGGTGGTGTTCCTGTGGGTTGGC